AGAAATCTGTATCTCCTAAATCCAACGCAATGCCTGGCTCACAGCCAGTACTTAGTATTTGTTGAAAGATTATTGAATACTTGTATGGAAACTGCAGTTAAATCAGACTCTCAACTCCTTCACAGACCAAGGAAATGAATAATGATTTATCCAAAACCCAAGCTGATCTTTACTGGCTTTAAAAATCCAAGCTCTTTCCATCATGCCAAAGCCACCAGTATTTACTCAAACAGTTGAATGCCTTCTAAAATTCCCATGATTACTGTGCATCAACATGCAGTTAAATGAATGAATTGATTATAATTTTCTCTGCTCTACCAAATTTCTAGTCCTCATACTGTGCTTCTTGAATGTGTCACTGCTGAAAAATGAACACTAACTGTGTATTCAGGGCATTTAATGGCAAATTTGAGTGAAATGTTGCTATCCTGATAGAAAAGATTTCTTTGAGCTCTACTAAAAATTTTGTGTCAGCAGACTGAAATTACATGCAAAATTATCTAAACTATTCACATATGATAGGCAGTCACACTTAGTAGCAGATGAAGCCTTCAAGAAGGTAGGAAATGAAGCTGAATAATATCAACCTCTGGTCTAATTACCTCCAAGTCTCTGTTCATAACTGAAGGCATAAAATGCAAAAAATTATGGTACACAATAGTGTGCGGCATCAGGTAGCAAGGGAGGACACTAGCATAGCCCTGACTGCACACATGGGCAGTTGCTGCACTTCATCTACTATTTTAGAGAACTACTAAGTACTTAATGCGATAAAGGATCATTATTCCTGGATTTGGTTCATTACTTTTCTTTGTGTAGTAAAGTTGAGTGGTGCAGACTTTGGAGGGGCTAAGGAGGCTTCCTCTCACTGAGGATTCATGCCCCAAACCACCTTAATTACAATAAATCCATTGGAGGTACATCACTAATTATCTAGACATCATACCTGAGGGCAAACAATGTAATTCTTCAGTCACCTGTTCTTTGATTCAATCATTCTCAGATGAGGTTTTTGACTATTCAACAAGATCCTGAAAAAGAAGTAATGAAATCTGCATATGGATTAGAACCCACTACATAATCCTTCCATTCCAAAAATAACAATACCAAGCACTATATCGATTTAAATAATTCCAAAATTGCTCTCTCTCCTGTTGGCGATAGATTGGTTAAAGATGGGATCCACTGAAGAAGAAAGACCTGGCTCTTCAGCACCCTGTGCGCTAACCCAGAAGTGTTATTTGAAAGCATCTGCTGCAGATTGCCTAACCCAGTGGGCTTGGATTTGGACACTCTCAGTAGGAATGGTTACAGGCTAACAGGACTATAAAGGCAGAGATGATGCTAGTTGATAGATCCTGTAGTTCAACTTCATCCCAGATAGAAGCTGGATTCATCTGATATCAGAGAAATGAAATTTCTGGAGACCAAAACTAGATTTGAGTTTCTTTCTAGAAACTTCTTTCCCAGCCTTGAAACTCTTGGGTGCCATGAGTCCTGGATACACAAGAGATGATGACATTTTTATTTTTATGTATGAAGGTGGAAGCTGACTTTTCTCACTGGAAATGATTTGTAGAATCAACTGGCAAAAACATGAGGATTTCTTTTATCCTCTGAAGGTTCTTTGCTAGATTGTAAACTTCATGAAAGCAGGATAAAATGGTGATGGGAAAAAACAAAAGTTCTTAAAAAAACGTAAAAAAAATAATTCCAAAATTTTAAACAAGAAATGATTTTTATAGGTACAGTTAGGTAAGAGTACTTCTTCTTTTTAGTTGAAATGTTACCACATTCTCACATTCATTCTAGGCCACAAATAAATGTTTCATAACAATATCTAACATTTATTAAGCACTTACTATGTCAGTTACCTTATTTCAGAATTTCTTGACCTCAGCACTGTTGACACTGTCCTGATAATTCCGTTGTGGGATATGCATTTAAGAGGTTTAGCTACATCCCAGGCCTCTAACCTCCCCACTTGCACCTACTTGTGACAAAAATGTCTCCAGAAATTGTAAATGTTCCCTGGATGACAAATTGCCCCTAGTTGAGAACTATTGCCTTAAATAGATAATTTATTCAATCCTCTAGACAACCCCACGAAGTAGTTCTATCCTCCACTGTACAGGTGAGAAGACAGACACAGAGATTCAATAACTTGTCTAAAGTCACACAGCCTGTAGGAGATACAACCAGGATTTGACCCAAGTGAGTCTGACTCCAAGAGCCCTCTTAACTGCTGCCCTGGGAACTTGATCCCTTTCTGACTTTAGGGCTTAAAAAGAAGCTTTTTAGTTCACAATCCCTCCAGAGTTATTAAAAAGGAATTGCTTCAGCGGTGAATTCAGGGATTGAAATTGACCCAATAAAGGGAAGAGGAAGCAATGTCTCCACCTCACTACGTATGCCTGGGTCATGGTAATTGAAAGAAGACATTTTAAAAAGGATTAACCACGTACAAAAAAAAAAATCTAAAAACCCACAGCTTGGTAACCTTCTTCTTCTACTACCTCAGTCACTTTCAGCTAGGTAGAATAGATGCCCAGTATAATTTAAGAACTTCCTCCCTTAAAGGAAATATCTGACCCACCCACCAGCATAATTCCCATAGAGAATTCATTTGCAGATGACCCTTGTAAAATGCTAATATCCATATTATGTTCTTTTAGTCTTCATTTAAATAAATTAATCAAATTAGTGAGTTATTTAGCAGCCATTAGAAGTAAATTACAAAACAGCAAAGTTCTGAGTGGGCCTAGTCAGGGGCAGAGGAAATCTGGTTGCAAGGTATTTTGCAGTGTAGCTCAGTGTGGGGCATACGGGATAGGCAATGTGCTAGGCAGTGGACAGGTGGCCAAAAGTGAGGAAAAGCCACGGAGAGTCACAAGAAACTGCCTTTCTGTCCTCCCTAGTTCTCCATTTGACAATCTCTGCCCCTCCCCGCATCCTGATATTCTATGGGGACCAGTCCCAGCCTATCCAAAAAGTCTGCACAGCAGACCTACCACTTTATAGCAAACTATGAGGGCTGAACACTTTCCCAATGGCATTGCTTGCTCTTTCTGGAATCAGCTACCCAAACTGTTAACCAAGCATAAATGAATCTGACTTTGCTAAAATTAAAAACGGCAAAATTTTATTTAAGGATTTGCAAATTGGAAACACTACCAGGTAATGCCCAGAGTGTTATCAGTGGAAGTGGAGGATCCCTTTCCCCACTGGGTGTAGGGGGTTGGGTTTTTATGGGACCTTGAAAAAAATTATTTTTAAGTCTCACACGGGAGAATAAATGATTTTTATTTGCAAGTAGTTATATCCCATGGTTTCCAAAGTCCCATTTACCTTAATCCAGTCCCGGAAGAGGTGCAGCTGGGAATCCAGCAGAACTAAACACAAAGCCAGTGTTCAGAGTTTCCTTTCCATGGTGGAGAGTCTGGCAGAGCACTAGGCTAATTCCAGTCCATCAGTCCATTATGTGTGGGGTCCACAAGGCTGTAGGCCGTTGGGCAAGTGAAGAGCTTTAACAGCCCTGCAAGCCAGGAGTCAGGCGTCAGCAGCAAGAGCCAGACGGAACCTCTTTGTTTAGGAGTTTAAATATTAAATCTTCCGGCCCTTGCAGTGCCATGCCTATATGCCTACTCTTGCCAATGCTCTGTTCCCAGGTATGACTGACAAGCACCCTCTCCCCTTTAGATTTTATTGGGCAAGCATATAATATTCGGCCTTCCCTCTCTTCCTTTCCAGTTAATTAATAACTGGGTTAAATTATAACGATATCAAGAGTGTTTCAAAGAAAAGAGAAAAATTGAGAGCTCTTAACAGTAAAAAGTATATTCTTGAGAAAGAAAAAAAAAAAATCAGTCCTGTATTCTTAGCTCTGGATTGGTCCGAGATGGTAATCTTCGTCTGGTGGTCTGGATAATGGATGTCAGGTGATTGGATAACAGGTGTCAGGCGGTCTGGATACATGAACATTCTTTCCTAAGTTCTTCAGAGAATGATCTACAGGCTATATATATATATATATAGATAGATAGATAGATAGATAGATAGACTACTAAAAAATTCAAATTTTAAGTCCGCAGGCTAGTTAAAACAAGGATACAATCATTTTCTCTTGCCTCAACCTACTTCATTTTAGTAATTTAGCAGCTTGACTATAATGACTCCATTTTATTTCTTGACTCTTTTCTCACTACTTTAATGACACATGGATTTCTATGTGCAGGAAATCTACGCCTGCATTTGCAATGCACATGGCTTTGCCCTGATTCTGGCTTCTCTAAACATCTTGTGGAACACAAAATTTCACCATCTTCTGGGGAACCAGAGACTCAGGGTGTGGGTGCTCTATCACTCATTGTGGATGTCATCTTTTGGGCAAGAAAGCCTACCCTTGCTGTCTTATGTAGGGAGACACAAAGGAAGTCCAGTTTTTCCCCCTCTATTCATTACCACTAAATAAATGTAAGTAGACAACTACTTCTTTTCTTTGATTCAGAAAGTGTCAGATAACCACTACATTTTTAAAAGGCTTCCTATCTGGGAGTGCTCACTGTGAGCCTTTTTCTTCATGAAAGGAATGAGCCGGAACCGGTTTGGCTCAGTGGATAGAGCCTCGGCCTGCGGACTGAAAGGTCCCGGGTTCGATTCCGGTCAAGGGCATGTACCTGGGTTGCGGGCACATCCCCAGTGGGAGATGTGCGGGAGGCAGCTGATCGATGTTTCTCTCTCATCGATGTTTCTAACTCTCTATCTCTCTTCCTTCCTCTCTGTAAAAAATCAATAAAATATGTGTGTATATATATATATAAATAAAAGAAAGGAATGAGAGAGTAAAATGCCACAAAAATTTAAACTAGGCTCTGCAATTAGGCACTTTAAATCTGCGTAAAACAATTCAAATATTCAAATGCTAACAGAAAGCTTCTTTAAGAATATAAACAGACAAAAAAATCAGCCCTAAGGTTCATTGATGCAATAGGGAAAAAATGTATTGTGGAACTTTAAAGTTCAATGATTAAAAAAAGAAAACTATCATGAGTATTTAAAAAGCTAGGCTGGGTGGTTAATTGCAAGAATGACCAGATAAACCTCATACAAGCACCCTAGTTAAAGTAGGCTTAGAGATGGAAAGCTGGCCTAGATCTGATCAAACTACCTTGGCCTTTTGAGAAAAGCAGGGTGAAAGACACGCACATACAAGCTTGTTGTTTTTTTTAAAGCACGCCTCTATTTATTATATTTTGCAACTATGATCTTTTAAAACAGTGGCCTTAGGAAAATCTGCTCTGGCAAGCAACTGCAGAGGCTCCTGTGGAGAGGAAGTGGAAAGACTGGGCTTATATACAAGGGCTGCTGGCACCTTCAAAGCGCAGGGGATGGTTCACAGCAAAATGTAGTCCTAAGTAAATGGGTTTCAGGCAATTTCAGTGTTAAGATAACATCATTAAGAGCAGAACAGATTGTGCTCAAACCCTGCTGTTTATAATTAACACATTGCTTCCAAATACTCCAGGGCCCCTGGTAAACAGTCTTCTGCTCACATCCACCCAGACCAATCAGAGTATTTTCATCAGATTCCATGCTGGGCCAGCACCTGTCTGGACAAATCCAGTAGAGCCAAAGAACTCCTCTCCCTGGCCAGCTAAGTAGTTGGATGAACACAGCTTGGCTTAGTCATTGTCACAGTGTCCATATGGCTCTGAAGCTTGTTTTCACAAGAAATCATACAAGTATTTTATTATGTCAAAGTTCACCGTCCTATAAACAAAAACAGATAATAGGTTAGCATCCTCACCCCCAGACTGCTCTGCTCAGCTTTACATGTATGATTCTGGGAAGCACATGCAAAATAATTCACAACTGATGGTGAATAATTCTATGGTGCTGTCAAAAGCACCATGAAGGAATTGACATTAGTTTTTCAAAATGTTACTAGGAAAAGAGATTCTTTAAAAAGTTCATTTTCCCTCTCATAAGTTTGCTTTTCTAAAAAAAGGAAATGAAGTTAGAACTATTCAACATTCTGCATTTCAATTATACTACAGAAAGTTTAGCTTTCATTGGAAAGCTATTTGCTTTTTGTCTAATAACCAGAATAAAGTAATTAGAGATGCAAAAGTATTTAAATCTTCTTTGCTTTTGAATACTGTTTATCTTCCAAAACACCTGTTTTATCATTACAGAATGCATAGCTCATCTGTCCCCATTTGTAGTTTTCATTCTTTTCAATCTTTTAACACTGGCTGACCTGTGTGTGTATTGTAACTAAATCTGTATGATCCAAGAATACGCTACAACAGACGATGTGAATGTATATTTTTGTACTCTGGTAGCAGGCAGAATAAAACAGCAGAAAGAGAAAGACATATAATTATTTTCCTTTCTCCAAACTCATTCTTCACTATAAATATTCAGACTTAGAGGTTTATTATTTGAATAAATGGTCAAAATAATTAGATATAATGATCTAGCAAAGAGTATAAAATTAAAGCCTTAAAGTATTCAATTCTGCAAAAATAACCATCCGTGTGAGAATAGCCTTCTAAAGATTCACTAATTGCATGCTCTTATTTATTAAATCACCAATTAATGTTTTTGTCTATCATTTTATAATATACTTTCTAAAAATGTTTCTAAGCAAATGACTGACATATCAAATATTTTTAAAAATTTGGAATGTGGAATTATAGATACTGCTTATGAAAACACATTTAAAAATAGCTGAAATGAGATTCTATGGATATTGTGGTACCTAATGGTGGACTGAAAAATACCTTAATTGTCTTATTACAACTGTGCCTCTCTGAAGAATACTTAACCTTTCCAAATGCATAAAAACACTGCCAAAACAATTTTATTATAACTAGCAGTAATAAAACAACTAAAAATAGGTACTAAAGTTTTTTAAATCTTATCTCAGGCATAAAAACACAAAAGATATAGTTATATATCATAAAAGCTATTTTAGTTTTATGTGTTTTTCTTTCATTCAGTTCTAGAACACCTTCAACCCCTACCTCCGTCAAAATTACTAGCAACAAGGTACCACTAACAAATCACTTTTTTTTTTTAATCATGGTATTGGTTGAAAAGATGTGTTTCAGAGGATCTTAGAAGAAAACATAGTAGCTATTTTTAACCACAGGTAAAAAGGGGAGTGAAATTTGTACATCTCTCAAGCACCATTCCCCGTAACAACTGGGTCTTAAGGTTATAAACCTTAAGTGATAAGGTAAACTTAATGCTGTTTTAATGTCCTTTTTCTTTGGCATTGGGTGAAAAATAAAGTTTAGAAGAAGCTAAAGATTAAAATAATTTAACTTCCAATACTATGGGATTAGAAGACATTTGGTAGAATATTACATAGCCATACAAAATAATCAATATGAAGAGATACCTACAATACGAGGGGAAAGGAGAACAGAGAATTGTACTATGTTGTGAAAGCTAAGGATAATTGTTTGTATAATGGACTAAAACTAGAAGAGAACATAAACAAATTAAAATATTTGTTACTGGTAGGACTCCTTATTTTACTTAGTAATCTATTTGTGTAACTACAACATAGTTTGTGCAATAAAATTTTTTCTAATAGAATGAATGAACTGATTTAAAAATACTAAGCATTTAAATGTATTCATTTATAAAAGCTGCATTATATTCTTCTCTGCTTTGCCACTGGGAAGTAGTCAAGCAAATTGAATAACACAGTTAAAAACTTTTTATTAAAAACTAAATCAATCAGGAAAAGGATATGTAAGATCATTCCTTTAAAAAACATTTGCTGCTCAACATGTATGACTACCTTGTCTCTATCGTCCCACCATCCCCCAATATAAACAGATCACTTGGCAACTGATCCCCACATATATTATTCTAAGACATGGAAGAATTTGATAGAATAGCCTCAAGGGCAACATCGAAAATTATGTAACATATTCCAAAGATAACTTTGTGCTTTAAGGACTTGGAGACAAACAATTCACATTAAAGAAAGTTTGTTTGCTTTTTAAAAATATAATTATATTGATTTCAGAGAGGAAAAGAGGGTGAGATAGAAACATCAATGATGAGAATTATTGATCGGCTGCCTCCTGCATGCCCCCTACTGGGGATTGCACCCACAACCCCGGCACGTGGGGTTGAAGGTCACCGCTCAACCACAGAGCCCCACCAGCTGGCCTAAAGAAAGCTTTAACTTACAAAGGGAGTTATGTACTCTGCAAGTACTTTCTCTCGTTTTTCATGGTTTCAGATGTATATTAGATTCATATAAAGACATTTTTAAGATTTTGGGATAATTTTTATATACTACAGGAGATTCTTTCATAGAATCCAAATTAATTATTCTCTAAAGTAAGCATCTAAAAGGAAACAGGATAAACACAAACAGTGTTGGTGACAATTAGCCTAGGAGTAATTCTTAAATCAGAATTTGCAATATTTTAATACAAGTTAATTACATGGTATACAGCTATGGATTTAATTTAGCCTTTATCCTTTCATTTCATTTTGTTGATTCTTTTATAACACCAAAATACTTCTTTCTATTTTATTTCCTTTTACTTTGGTGGGCAGTTCAATTCCTTTCTAGTTTGGTTCTTCTGACACTTTGCAACTGTACAACTTCAATTTGTAATCTTAAATTATCTTGTTGTGCCTTCACACTGACTATGGAGGAAAAACAAACGGGAAACCTAGAACTACCGTTCATATTAGGAACAGTCCAAGGACAACATTTAATAAGTTTCTCAGTCATCTATCTTCCCCCATACTCTACCTCTGTATCCTGGTCTCCCTTTCTAGGACCAGTCTCTTATTGCTTCTCTGTCCAAATCTTTCCACTATTCCTTGGTCAATAAAGTTCTCTATGACCTCTATCTCTTCCATGGATTTTTTTTTTTTTTCCTCTTCTGGGCTAGCTAAACTGGCTCCTCATGAGAACCAACCCTTTTCTTTAGCTCTTCCCAATGAGGTTTAGTTTAGACTCTCTCCTGCACCCCAGGTAGTCCTGTTAGGTGGGGTTAAGTCCTTGTACAAAAAAGCTCTACTTCTCCGACACTCAGACCATTCCATTCACTATCCTTTAGCTCAGCGGCTCTCAACCTGTGGGTCGCTAACAATGAAAATACATCCTGCATATCAGATATTTACATTACGATTCATAACAGTAGCAAAATTACAGTTATGAAGTAGCAACAAAAATAATTTTATGGTTGGGGGTCACCACAACATGAGGAACTGTATTAAAGGGTCACGGCATTAGGAAGGTTGAGAACCACTGCCAGCCCCTTTATCATCATTCTTACTCAATGAATAATGTAGCATCCAGTTTAGACTACCTTTCCATCCCAAGATCTACATGAGCCTTAATGACTGCACTGCACACTTGTCTTTTTTAACCTTCAATGGTCTTCTAGGATCCATGATCAAACTGAGATGTTCTTCTCTAAGAACATATTTGTACATTCTACCCTCAGACCTCCAAACTCTTCCTTTAAGCTCTCTGGAACACCTATCAGAAAACCAGTTCATAAACCCCTTTATTTTCTCCTGATCAACAAATACTGAGTATCTACGTGCCAGGCCCTTAGCCCTCTAGTAGCTTTACTTTCTTCCTCCCTCCCTCTCCTAGCGTAGACTCCATGGTTTGCCACTTCAAGTGTTCACCAGCTAGCACTCGCTGAAATCACCTGGCAAAACCCCAATCTTATGTGATTTCAATTATATTCTTTTGCTGTCCCGTACCCAGCATATTTCTGGAAGCTGTTGGAGAAGATCACAAGTTTCACAGATCGGTGCCACTGTAAATTCAAGGTCAGGAACCGCAACTGGGGCCTCAACGCTCTCAGCAAGTTTCTTTCCATTCCATTCCCCACAGCAGCTATTCGAAATATCTATATTCCTCTCAAACTGCTACCACTTCTGGATTTAGCCTGAATTTCCCCCTTCCTTTACAGGTAAAATAGGAACCTCAGATCAGAATTCCCTCAACTTTTTACTGCCAAAGGGTGACACTCAACTCTATCTGAATACACTTTTCCTCTTGTTTTAATGCAAAAGGATTCTCCTCCTCAGCTAAGGCTATTTCTTCCTAAACCCCATGCTTCTATACCATTCCAAGGACTTTATGATGCTTTAAATTAATCTCTCTTTGATGTTATTAACTTTCCTTCCTTAGCAGTCCTTTCCCATCACCATCTAAATATGCTCAAATCTTTAAAAAATAATGACCCTCTCACAATACCTTTAATAGGTAATAATCCTCTCTCTTCCTCTTTATGGCAAAACATTCTAGAATATAAGCTCATAGGGATAGAACAGAGATCTGTTATACTTGTTGCTATATCCCCAAAGCCTAGCACAATGATTATAACACAATAAATGTTAAATAAAGATATCCTCTCTATTTGCTGCTTCTACTTTCTTATAAGTACTGTTTAAATACACTATAATCTGACATCCACTCACTGTATTTCTGAAAGTTTCCCTGATAAAGACACAAATGACTGCTGTATTGTTAAATTGGATAGACTCCACTTTATTTCTTGGTAGCAACTGACAATTTTGACGATCATTCTGTTCCCTTAGGTTTTCCTTGTATATACTTTATAAATAACTGCTTTATCCACTTCAGCTCATATTTAACCATTTAACTCCATGTTTTTATCCTTGAAAAGCATGATTTTTAATAACAACATAGTGTTTTTTTAAGTACGAATTTACAATAAATTACTGATCCATTCCCTTATTTTGGACGTTTAGGTTGTGTCCTGTGATCTAATTGTTGCTTCTTTGCCACAGGTGTCTGGATATGGGCCTACCTACCTCTCCTTTGGTAACTATACTTGGGATCTCTTTTCTCCACCAGGCCTCGAATATGGAATGAGACTTTGCCTCTTGCTGCTCCCAAAAGGCAAGCCCACAATGGTCCCCTTTCATCTGAAGTTTTATTGCTAATCACTATAGGAAAACATGCAAAATTTATATATTTAGCATATACTAAGTTTAAAGCATTGTGCTGGGTTTGAAGTAAAGCGGGGGTTGACACAAACACAGTCTGTTTGAGCTTTGTGTACTTATACTGGAGAAAGATGAATTCTCATTATTAAGCTAATTAGTTAAAATTATTAGTATTAGAACATGACAATGGGAGCTGTACAACTGTGGGGGGCTGGAGGTTGGATGGTTGTCATGGTATACTTGAGGCTTCTTCAGCCATTAGCTAAAGGAGAGGAGGAGTTGGATTCCCATCTTCACCACATATATGCAAAGATGGGGATCACAAAGTGAATATGAAGAACTGAAAAAGCCAGACAGGTTGAAGTACAAATACCTTAAAAAGAAGCCATGTGTGCTAGACATGGCAGGGCACAAAGCCAGGGCCAGATCACTGGGACCTTGTAGGCTATTTCAAAGATTTTGTTTTTATTCCTATTTAGAGTTATGTAAAACTATTAAAGACTTAAGTAGGAGGGTGACATTAAATTTTTATAAGGTCATTTTGGCTATAGTGTGGACAACAAATTAAAGTAGATAGGAGGCTAATTAAGAGTTACTAGAGAAGAGATGGTGGTGGCTTGGTCTAGAGTCGAGGGTAACAGTACAAGTGGTAAAAGTGAATGACTTTGAGATCAGTAGGTGGGACTTCTAGGCTCAGCAGGACTAATGCTTGGATATGCAGAGTGTGAGAGAGAGAGAGCAATGTCAAGAATCCCTGATTTCAGCCTGTGCAACATGGCAGACTACAGTGCTGATCGCTGAAATAAGGACATGGGAGGAAAGCTGGATCATTACGTTTTTGTTGGCCGGAGGAAGCAGAGATTAGAATTTCTGAGTTCAGTTTTGGAAATGTATTAATGTAACTGGGAAACATCCAATAAAGGTAAGGAATATTAGAAGAAAAGTCTGGCCTTTGACAATTAGGGAATTATTAATCTATAGATGGTGTTGAAGTCATGAGTATACTAAAACTGACTAGGAAAAAAGGATATGAAAAAAGAGCCAAGCCTCAAGGACCAGCCACATTTAAGGTAGGGTGGATAGGATAAACTAACAAATGTGCCTTATAAAAAAAACAAAAAACAAACCAACAGCCAAAGAATAAAGAGACTGGAACCATGGGCTGTAAGAGAAGATCGTTTTAAGAAAGAGAGAACAGTGTTAGATGCCCCAGAGTGGACAAAGAGCCTGAGGAAGCAAAAGTGTCCCGGGGAAACAGGGAGAGCAGAAGTGGAAGAATCCCCTCAGAGAAGAAGAGACCCACCTGCTGAAGAAAGAAGATTGGCACCAACGCAGGCAGTTGAAGGAGTTCTCAACTGCTGGTCTTAATTTGTTCTGTGAAACACAGTGAATGCTGAACAAAGTGAATACAGATGTTAGCATCTGTGGTCTGAATAGAGTCAAGAATCTAGGTTGAAAAGAAGTCTGTGAACCATGTGCTCCTGTCTTCAATACATGAGGTGGAATGGCTGGGAGGTTGTTGATAATCATCAACCATAGGACAAGAGGGAAATAGAGCCAGATTGCATGAGTCTCAAAAAAGCCCACATTTTTATAAGAATTTGGGGTTAGTAACAATCTGGAAGTGGCAACAAGGAAAAAGGATGGCTCAGTGGATAGAGCATCAGCCTGTGGACTCAAGGGTCCCAGGTTCGATTCCAGTCAAGGGCATGTACCTTTGTTGCAGGCACATACCCAGTAGGGAGTGTGCAGGAGACAGCTCATCGATATTTCTAACTCTCTACCCCTCTCCCTTCCTCACTGTAAAAAACCCAATAAATTAAAAAAAAAAAGTGCCTGCAGCCCTGGTTGGGGTTTGGGAAATAAATAGCTACCACTACAGAGAACTCTGGGGGAAGGAACATCCCAGGTAATAATCAGGTTTTCATTATGGCAGAATGTTAGGAGAGTGGAAGGGTGCGATGTGGGAAGACAGAGGTAGTTACTCTTTGGATACTGTCCATAGAAAGTGAGGAAGAATAAGAAAACAAAGGTAACAAAGCAAATTACAGAGTTGCCAAGTTCTCTGGCAAAATTCCTGCTCCCTTCTGAAGTGGAAAACAAAAGTGCATTTCTCGGGCTGGGTCTAACGTCACTGACACTGTGGATTAAGTAATGCCCAATTCAGTTTGGTTCACTGACATTCTCCATACTGAGCACTAACAAACCTCTGTCCTGTTCATTATGCTGGGGCACGACCCAACACATTTAAAACAATGACAAAATTGCTGAAATAAAGGTGCTGCATCAAAAGTTATGCCTTTGATATAGGCTCTTAGATATAGAATTATTAATATCATTGTTTGGAAAAAGAAAGTTATAGCCTTATGGTCATACTGAATACAGTCAAAAAATATTTTCCTCAATTTCTTCTGTGTAAAAATTTGCCCAATTTTTTTGTAACAACACATTTAAAAACCTTATTTTATTTTTTAGAGTATACATGCCATCAAAATATTTCAAATACCTGCATCATATGATCACAGATCTTTTAATTCAGAAGAGACTTCAGAGTACAGGCTGCTAACCTGTACACTTCAGAACTTGAATTCATTAGAGATCTGCAGATCTATAATGTCAAGCACTGTTTTTAGCCTGAATAAATAATGTTTCATGTCTATGTGTTATTAATTCGAAATAAATGTACATATTCTCATGATTAATTTTAAAAGTATATTAAAATAAAATTTTCATATTCAAAAAGGCTGGGAAGCACTGTTTTATGGATTATCTTTTGCCACATGCCAGTCTACATTCACATTACCCCTTCCACTACAAGTCCTAACAGGTTGTTATCCAGCTGCAACCATGAGATGAAGTAATTTACTCATATAAAATGGCTGGAACATTTTCCCTAAGAGCAAATACACCTCTTTATGAGAACGCGGTACATTTTTAGACAGCTCTCATTTCGACAAACAGTTCTTTCCTAGAACTTCTAATGTTCTACGATTGCTCAGAATTAGTTCCATCCATTTTGTACATGACAACCCCTGAAATACTTGAGACGATTACCCTATCCGTCATAAGGTTTTTTCTCACACCCTGTCCCTCAGTCAGACATGGTTCTCCTCATTTTACCACTGTCCTCCTGCCCTCTCCTCAGCATATACCCATTTGTTAACGCCCCTCTTAGAACTCCAAGCACAGCACACCAGATTTGGCCTGCCTAAGGCAACACAGAGTAGACAGACCTATTACATCTCTTAAATGAGACACCAGGATTTTTAAAACCATGTAGTCAGCTCAAATACCCAGAAGTTAAGCCAAGTCTCTCCCACCTTGTTTTATTACATAGGAGAGTTTTTTTAACTGTCCGTTAAATCTGACCTTGCTACTATGGGACCATTTTTCCATTCTGTTGTCTTTCAGAATCTTAATTTTTGCTATCCAACATCATAGCTAATTCTCCCAATTTTATGCCATTTGGAAATGTGATGAGAGGGTTCATTCTACAGTGAAACTTAATCACTCGTGGTACTTAAATAATCTTTCCTTGCTTAAATGACTAATGACATTATATTAATTTTTATATTTAGTATATAATTTACATAATTCAAGACATTTTATGTTCACAATTACTCTATGCTTACCTAGCGATAGCTCTGATGAAGTCTAGAGATACTGTGCATTTGTACTTTGGTCCATCAAGCTGGTCATCATGGCCAACCAGGGTTAATAGCTGCAGGGTCACTAGAGAGGTAATCTAAATGTAAGAAAGCATTTTTATGAGAAAATGTAGCAATGAATACATCATGTCGTTATTTCTAAAACACTTTATAGTTACTTTGAGAAAAACATATAACTGAATTTACAAGAGTATGTACGAAGAATGTTACTACTTTGAAATGTATAATAGTATACACAAATCTGTAGATATGCTTAATGTCCTAGCTAACCAAACTAACAGTCAATCACTAAGGATTCCATGAGAGACAGCTTTGTTCCATTAATAAGTCATATACAGCTGTTAACCTTTAAAAAACTACCAAAAAAATCACATTCCTTCTCTCTACTTAAGAATTTTATGGAGTTTCTAAATACCTCAGAATATAAAATGTACACTCCCTTGAGAATCGAATTATGTAGATATGGATCTTTTTCAGAGTTGGGTAGCTGGTTAGACAAGCAATAAGAAATACATCCTTCCGACCTGGGCTTAGTCTTGCTTTAAAAACTGATCACCAATTAAATAGTCAGGAAAATACCAGAAGGATTACCCCAAACTAAAAACAACCAAAGGTTTGCTATCACAAGATCCCTACTCAAGGAAATTCCTAAACTGTACCTTCAAGAGAAAGAGATACCACTTAGAAGGTCTGAAATGTAAGGAATGAAGAATAAAGTAGTATATATGGTGGTATATCTAAATAAATTTTCCTGTGTAGCTAATAACAATAATTATGTATTATGGGTTTAAAAATAGGATAGCCCAGCCAGTATGGCTCAGTGGCTGAGTGTCAACCCAGGAATCAAGAGGTCACCGGTTTGATTACTGGTCAGGGCACTATGCCCAGGTTTCGGGCTCAATCCCCAAGTAAGGGGTGTGCAAGAGGCAGCCGATCTATGTTTCTCTCTCATTGATGTCTCTTTCTCTCAATTCCTCTCCTTTCCCCTCTCTCTAAAAAAATAAGTAAAAACAGGATAAATACACAATACCAGTAATATATAAATTAGAAGTGGAGAAAATAAAATAGAAATGTTCTAAGGTCTTGTGGCATCTGAGAGAAAAACAGAAGTATTCATTAACTTTCAACTTTGGTAATTCAAGTATGAATATGCATTTATATTATAATTTTTTTACGTAGCAAGTAAGAGTAGAAACAAGAATATGTACATCTAAATTAGTAGAGTGGGGGAAAACTAAATTATAAAGATTATCAATCTGAAGAAAATTAAAAGAAAATAAAAACAGGTAGGACAAATAAAAAGTATAAAACAAGATAATATAAACAAAATTACAATAGTAATTAGAAGTAAACTAATGAAATACTACAAATAAGAGAAAAAGATTGATTGATTGAAAAAATAAACCAAACTATATACTGCTTAGAAGAGATACATCTAGAACAGAAGACTATAAGAAGGTTAAAAGTCAAAGGACAGAATAGACACATCAAATACTAACAAAAAGAAAAATGAAGATATATTAAAACAGACTTTAAAAGAGGTTTAAAGAAAGGCCCTGAGCTCATATCTCTTACAATATGAGTTGCTTGAGACCGTTAGTATGAAGGGATGAGACAGAACAGAATGGGGAGCCAAGGGATACTGGAGTCTTTGGGGGAAAGAAAGTATTGCTGAAAGTCAAGACAACCTCGTATCCCTCCCAGTTTAGAAACAGGTAGGAATCATGATAAAAGTAGGCCTGAAATTGTAATAAGTAAGAGATACAGAAAAGAGTTTATAATAGTCTACTATGGCAAAATATATTCATTAACTTCTATCCATTTGCTAAATAAAGTAGGTTAGTAATAGCATTTGAAACTCATATATTAATCTCCCTTTATTATTATTTTTAAATATATGTTTATTGATTTCAGAGAGGGAGAGGGAAAGATAGAAATATCAATGATGAGAAAGACGCATTGATCAGCTGCCTCCTGCACACCCCTACTGGGGGTCAAGCCCACAACCCGGACATGTGCCCTTGACCAGAATTTAACCTGGGACCTTTCAGTCCACAGACCAACGCTCTACCCACTGAGCCAAACCAGGTAGGGCTCCCTTTATTAACTAGAGGCCTGGTGCACAAATTCATGCACCAGTGGGGTCCAGTCGGCCCCAGGTTGATTGGGCCAGGCTGGCCAGGGGGTGGGGCCCTTGACGGTTGGCAGGCTGGCCCCACCTCCTGGACAAACTCCGGTTGAACTCCCAGTAGAGGAGACAATCTGCATATTCCCCTTTTATTACATAGGATGGCAGGTTTCTTTAGTTCTTTTTCTTTTAATATAAAAGAAATTACTGATTACCTTTTACTTTGCCAAGGCATTTATTTATAACTAGAGGCCTGATGCACAAAATTCGTGCAAGAGTAGGCCTTCCTTCCCCCAGCTGCCTGCACCTGGGACCCGGGCTTCCCTCTGGCTGCCTGCACCCGGGACCCGGGCTTCCCTCTGGCTGCCAGCACCCAGGACCTGGGCTTCCCTCCGGCTGCCAGCACCTAGGACTGGGGCTTCCCTCGCAGAGGGAGGCCCTGCCCACCTGTTGCAGACTGCTGGTTGGTGGCCTGGGCTTCCCTCTACAGGGTGATTGTGGAGCCCCCGGATTGATTGCCCTACCGGCCATTTGCCTGGGCCTCCCTCTGCGGGGCAATCATGGGGTGATGGCTGGGCTCCTGACCAATCGGATTGTACCTGCCTTGGCTGGCCTGGTGCCAGTGGGTGTCATAGCGTGGTCCCGGATGGTTGTCCAGATGGTTGTTGTTATTCTGCTGTTCAGCTGTTCAGTCAATTTGCATATTATGCTTTTATTATATAGGATAGTATTATAACTTCTACTTTCCTGTGCTCCAAATACCCTGATATATTTGATCAATTCTTTAACTTGAATAATATACTACATTACTCTACTTTCATACTTGTCAAAAACACAAAATCTGCCCTTGAGTTAAAATTTCAAGAATATTTTCAGGTACCTTACAGTACTATATTACTTTAACCACATTAGTTACAACAAATTTCCAAAGGCAGTAAGTTGAACCAGAGAGCTCCTTAAAGTCACTCAGTTCTACCAGGATTTCATGGATAAATTAATCATGTAAATTGTGCAAAAAATACAGTATCATTTCAAGATGTAGCAGTCAAAAGGCATTTCCAAAATATTAAGATAATTGCTCAACTTGGGGGGAAGGGATCTGATCTAGGAAAAGCTAGTACAAAAAAAATTTAAGCCAAAACGGAGTAAATTAGGTTGTGATTTTTCACATTAAAAAATACCAATTTCAAAGATTTGTTTTGTTATTCCCTGACATTATCATATGAACACAAAAACAAAATGCAAAGTTTAGGAGAACATTCCACAATGCACTGTACAAATGCATCAACAATTTATTTATTTATTTTTTATATATCTTTATTGATTTCAGAGAAGGGAGAGGGAAAGAGAGATAGAAACATCATTGATGAGAGAGAATCATTGACTGCCTGCCTCCTGCACGCCCCCTACTGGGGATCTCGCCTGCAACCCGGGCATGTGCCCTTGACTGGAATCAAACCTGGGCCCCCTCAGTCCTCAGGCGGACACTCTACCCTCGGAGCCAAACCAGCTAGGGCTAAACAATTTTTTAAAATATGGTAGGCTAAACAATTCACCATAGCTAAGATTTGGAAACAGCCTAAGTGCCCATCAGCAGATGAGTGGATTAAAAAACTGTGGTACATCTACACAATGGAATACTATGCTGCGGTAAAAAAAAAAAAGGAACTCTTGCCTTTTGCAACAGCATGGATGGAACTGGAGAGCATTATGCTAAGTGAAATAAGCCAGTCAGAGAAAGATAAATACCACATGATCTCTCTCATTTGTAGAATATAGAAAACAACATAGACTGATGAAAAGGGACAGATCCAAAGACAGAGAAACAGCGATCAGACTATCAATCCCCAGAGGGAAAGTAGGGGAGGGTGGGGGTAAGGGGAAGAGATTAACCAAAGGACTTGTATGTATGCATATAAGCCAAACCAATGGACACGGACAACAGGGGGATGAGAGCATGGGGGGGGGGGGAGGATGAGGACACATTTGTAATACCTTAACCAATAAAGAAATTTTTTTAAAAAATGGTAGGCTGAGTCTTACTGCTCAGTGTTACAAAGTGTAGATTCTGTGGTGCATTACTATTAAGTAAGATATGGCAAGGCTATGTTGTCAAGCCATGATTGGATAGAGTATTATTAATCAGCAAAAGGGTAAAGCCCTCTCTCACCTAATCCTGTCCCCCAGATGCACTCCATGTAGATTTGTAGTAAAAAACACTTTAACGAGGGGAGCAGCTGTCTTTCCTCTCCCTGCCCTGCACTCTCACTTGCATCTTAATGCAACACCTTGGGAAGGAAGCCCTGGAAATGACCTTCCTTTCCTGTTTGATGGAAGCGTCAAAGGTGAAGTACAGCAAAAGACGTGAACAAAACAAATGTGTTTGTGGAGTGTGGGGAGAGAGGACGTGTTTACTGTGCTGAGAGATCTGTACCAACAATTTAAAAGTACTTTGCCAGTTTATTAAAATATTGCTAGAGAAAAACTGAAAAAATCAAGTACAAAGATTAACTTATTCACCAACACTGTGAATCTGACATATTACTTTATACCTAAATAAGAAGTTCTGGAAAAATATATACAACTTTGGGAAAATTATTTCTATGCATGTAGAAGTTCAAGAATATCCACCTTCTCCATTATTCTATTCTTATTTTTTTTTGCAATTGCATATTCATTAAACTCTTGAGGACTTGCACTAGGTACTGTGCATTCAAAGATGAATAAGATCACAGAAAATACTGATTTATTTCCTTGCCCAAATTTAAATGTTCATGACAAAATGATGAAGTCATATCTCCCCACTGGCATTAGTACCTAAATAGCTTGATATGGTCAGTGGGCAAATGACAGAAGTCTCAGTCAGTGAAGGTATTCATGGCCCAGATTCGTAGTGGTGTCTCGGTTTTGTATACATGCATGTGCATGTACAATGTGGAGATGGGACCA